TGACAGTCTTAAGAGTATTGCTAATATTTTCACATATATACACAATTTGACCTTATTGAATCCCTTATAATGGTCTTTCAGGAAGTTTGACTGTTCTTATATTATTTTTCCTCTATCTGTTCTACAGATCAGTTGTTTTTCTGATGAGATGTTTCACTTTCTTTTCTATGTTTTCATTCTTTTGATTTTGTCTTATGATTTTTTTGGTGTCTTAGAATCTCATTAGCTTCCACTTGCCCAGTTCTGGTTTTCGAGAAATTATTTTCTTCCTTAAGTTTTTGATTTTCTATTTCCAGTTCATTGACTTTCTTTTCATAATTTTCTTGGATTGCTCTAATTTTTTCTTATTTTTCCTCAGTCTCTCTTATTTGATTTGTCAGATTCCTTTTTTCTTTTTTTCCCTCAATTAATTTATTTTAGTTTTTAACATTCACTTCCACAAGATTTTGAGTTTTAGATTTTCTCCCTATCTCGTCCCTCCCCCCCCACCTCAAGACAGTGTGCATTCTGAATACTCCTTCCCCTAATCTGCCCTCACTTCTATCTCCTCCCCTTCTCTTATCCCCTTCCCTTTCTGTTTTCTCATAGGGCAGCATAGATTTCTATACCCCATTGCCTGTGTGTGCATTCTGAATACTCCTTCCCCTAATCTGCCCTCACTTCTATCTCCTCCCCTTCTCTTATCCCCTTCCCTTTCTGTTTTCTCATAGGGCAGCATAGATTTCTATACCCCATTGCCTGTGTATCTTATTTCCCAGTTGCATGTGAGAACGATTTTTAACACTTGTTTTTAAAACTTTGGGTTCCAAATTTTCTCCCTTCCTTCCTCCCCACCCAACCTCATTGAGAAGGCAAGCAAATTCATACAGGTTATACATGTGTAGTCATGTAAAACATTTCCATAGTAGTCATCTTGTGGAAAAATTATATTTCCCTTCATCCTATCTTGCCCCACTGTTTATTTTATTCTCTCTTTTGACCCTGTCCCTCCTCAGAAGTGTTTGCTTCTGATTACTCCCTTCCCCAATTTGCCCTCCCCTTTAACATCCCCCCACTCTCTTAGACCCTTCCCCCCTATTTTCCTAGGGTAAGATAGATTTCCATATCCAATTGATTGTGTGTGTTATTCCTTCCTTAAGCCAAATCCAATGAGAATAAAATTCACTCATTCCCTCTGACCTTCTCCCACTTCCCTTTCACTGTAAAAGCCTTTTTTTGTCTGATTTATGTGAGATACTTTACCCTATTCTACCTCTCCCTTTCTCCTTCTCCCAGTATAATTCTCTCACCCCTCAATTTTATTCTCCAGATATCATCCATTCATCTTCAACTCACCCTGTGCCATCTATCTATCTATCTGTCTGTCTGTCTGTCTATCTATCTATCTATCTATCTATCTGTCTGTCTGTCTATCTATCTATCTATCTATCTATGTATCTATCCATATAATTTTTTTCCCTCTAACTGCCCTAATACTGACAAAGGTCTCATGAGTTACAAATATTATCTTTCCATGTAGGAATGTAAATAGTTCAACCTTAATAAGTCCCTTATGATTTCTCTTTCCTATCTACCTTTTCATGCTTCTGTTGAGTCTTGTATTTGAAAGTCAAATTTTCTATTCAGCTCTGGTCTTTTCGTCAAGAATGCTTGAAAGTCCTCTATTCACTGAATGTTCATTTTTTCCCCTGAAGGATTATACTCACTTTTGCTGGGTAGGTGATTCTTGGCTGTAATCCTATCTCCTTTGCCCTCTAGAATATCATATTTCAAGCCCTCCAGTGCCTTAATATAGAAGCTGCTAAATCCTATGTTATTCTGATTGTGTTTCCACAGTTCTTGAATTGTTTCTTTCTGGCTGCTTGCAATATTTTCTTCTTGACTGGGAACTCAGTAATTTGGCTACAATATTCCTAGGAGTTTTCCTTTGGGGATCTCTTTCAGGAGGTGATCAGTGTATTCTTTCAATTTCTATTTTACCCTCTGTTTCTAGAATATCAAGGCAGTTTTCCTTGGTAATTTCTTGAAAGATGATGTCTAAGTGCCTTTTTTGATCATGGCTTTCAGATAGTCCAATAATTTTTAAATTCTCTCTCTTGGATCTGTTTTCCAGGTTAGTTGGGTTTTTTTTTTTTGTTTTTTTTTTTTTGCTAGGCAATGGGGTTAAGTGACTTGCCTAGAGTCACACAGCTAGCAAGTGTCAAGTGTCTGAGGCTGGATTTGGACTTAGGTCCTCCTGAGTCCAGGGCCAATGCTCTATCCGGTGCGCCACCTCACTGCACCTTCAGTTGTTTTTCCAGTGAGATATTTCACATTGTCTTCTATTTTTTCATTCTTTTGGTTTTGTTTTACAATTTCTTGATTTCTCATAAAGTCACTAGCTTCCAGTTGCTCCATTCTAATTTTTAAGGAAATATTTTCTTCAGTGAGCTTTTGGATTTCCTTTTCCATTTGGCCAATTCTGCTTTTTAAGGTTTTCTTCTCCTCATTGGCATTTTGGACCTCTTTTGCCATTTGGGTTAAGCTATTTTTTGTTTTTTTGTTTTTTTTGACTAGGCAGTGGGGTTAAGTGACTTGCCCAGGGTCACACAGCTGGTAAGTGTTATGTGTCTGAGGCCAGATTTGAATTAGGGCCAGTGCTTTGTCCATTGCACCACCTAGCCACCCCTGGGCTATTTTTAAGGTGTTATTTTCTTCAGTATTTCTTTGGGTCTCCCTTAGCAAGCTGTTGACTTGTTTTTCATGATTTTCTTGCATCACTCTCATTTCTCTTACCAGTTTTTCCTCTAATTCTCTTACTTGTTTCTTAAAACCCTTTTTGAGCTCTTCCATGGCCTGGGACTGATTAATATTTTTCATAGATGCTTTGGATGTAGGAGCTTTGACTTTATTGTCTTCTTTTGGTTATATGTTTTGATTTTCTTTGTCACCAATGTAAGATTCTATGGTCTGACTTTTTTTTGCAAGGTTTGATCATGATCCCAGCCAATTACTTGAGTTTTAAACTCTTTGTTAAGGTAGGGGTGTGCTTTCAGTGTGGAGAATGTACTGTCCCAAGCTTTAGTGGTTTTGTGCAGCTGTTTTCAGAGATACTTTTAAATGGAACCTTTCCTGATTCCTTGGTTGCTGGTGCTCTCCTCTGACAATTATATTGTATTTATTTTGCATGTATTTTATGTGCTTACATGTGTACTTATTGTCTCCCCTGATAAACTGTAAGATTCTCTGTTTGATTTTTGTCTTTTTATCCCTAATACCTAGCTAAGAGTGGCAAATTGTAGGCACTGAATAAGTCCTTATTGATTGATTGATTGGATGGATATGTCTATATATATATTTTTTGGGGGGGAGGGGAGTATTATTCTGGTAGTCTGGGTTTTAGAAATCACATACTTGATTTGAAATGAAAAATTCTCCATATAATTTTTTATTTCATTATATAATTTTATGAGCTTTTAAAATAGTATTTGTTTATTTGAGTTTAGGTTATAATTTCATTGTTACAGGACACTCCCAGTTAAGAAAAGTCCTACTAATGCATAGCAGTAGCTGTTTTTTGAGTCCTGGTCTTAGAGAGACGTCTTAGGCATTCACAAGTTATGTGACTAACCCAATATTTTTGTCTGAAGCCAAGGTGAGGTTAAATCCACCTCTCCCAGGTCCTGAGACTAGCTAGTCCACTAGTCATCATGCAATGCTGACTCATTTTGGTTATCCTTGGGAGAAAGAATCCTACAGAAGAGTCTTAATAAAACAGAAATTAAATCATTTCTATGTGGTGCATCATATCTGTTGTAATCTCTTCATTTGAAAATATTGTTATCACTTTTCCCTGTTATCATTTACTTTGGAGTGTCCAGGTTTATAAATACTAAATGCCCTCTAACTGTAGGTAACCCTCTAAGATTTGTCCTGGGCCCCCTTCTCTTCCCCTTCTATACTACTTCACTTGGTGATCTTACTAGTTTACATGGATTTAATTCCCTTCTCTATGCTGACAGTTTTCAAATCTACTTACCCTGCCCCAAACTCTCTACTCACCCCCAATCTAGCATCTCTTTCTGCCTTTCAGACATTTTGAGCTGGATATTCAGTAGACATCTTAAACTCAGTACGTCCAAAACAGAACTCATTTTCTTTCCCCCAAACCCTCCTCCTGATCCCCCCAAACCCCCGCCTTCCTTGTTACTGTAGAGGGCAACACAATCGTTCCAGTCCCTCGGGATCACAACCTATGAGTCATTTTGGATTCCTCACTATCTTTCACCCCTCATATCTAAGCTATTGCATAGACTTGCCAGTTTCACCTTTGCAAAATCTCCTATTTTCCTCTTTCTCTTCTCTGACGCCGCTCATCACTTTGATTACTGCAGTAACCTGCTGATGAGTCTACGTTCCCTAAGTCTCTCCCCGCTCTAATCCATTCTTTATTTAGCCATGAAAATGATTTTGCTAAAACAAAGGTCCAGTCATGTCACCCTCCACCTTCATATTTACTCCAGGAGCAAATGAAAAATAATCAGTTTGGAATTCAAAACCCTTCATAACCTTGCTTCCTCCTAGGTTTCCATTTTTTTCGATTTAGTGACACTGGCCTTGAACAGGACCCTCCATCTCTCTGCTCTTGGCATTTTCTCTGGCTGTCCCTCATACCTGGAACACTCTTTCTCCCCCACTTGGATTATTGACCTCCCTGGCTTCCTTTATTTCCCTGCTAAAATCCTACCTTTCAAAGGAAACCCTCAATTACCCCTCTTAATTTAAACACTTTTCCTCTTTTAATTATTTCCTATTTATCCTGTATATAGTTTGCTTTGTATATATTTGTTTGCATGTTGTCTCCCCCGTTAGATTGTAAGCTCCTTAAGGGTAAGGACAATCTTTTGTCTCTTTTTGTATCCCCAGTGCTTAGCATGGTGCCAGACATTTAGTACACAATTAATAAATGCTTATTGATTGATTGATGGATTTTAGTTAATTTTTGTTATTGTCCTAAACAGGACCAAACGATCTCAGGTTCCCTTAAATGAATGCATATTTGAACTTCCCAACCTCACAATTCAAGCAACAAGAGCACAAACCCTACTGCTGCAAGCAATTTACCAAAGTTGGTCTCATACTGGAAGTATGGGTTCTTCAGTTGTGAATGAAACTTTGATGACTGACATCTTCCAAACTTCAGGTAATAACACAGTATTTTTGAAAAGCTCATATAGTGTCTTAGCATTGATGACTAAACTCTCATTCAAACCTATATTTCCAGTATACTATACTTCTGATATATTTCTATAATAGTGTATATTTATAGCATATGTTTAAAATCCAGGAAATGAGTTGTCATTAAGCATTGCTCTTTTCCACCAAACTCAGTACATTTTATTGTCACCTATAGGATTTTTAAAAACTTACTTTATTCTACATTTGAGACATCATTCTTTTCTGTCTTATAGATAGGGAGTATTATATCTTTAAAGTTAAGCTATTGAATACATTTTAAAATAATAGGTTTTTGAACTTTTTTCGTCAGAAATATTTGTGATCTGTAAGTCAGATTTTTAGTATAATAGAAGTAATGCTTTATCTCTTTTTAACCAATTTACCATTAACCATGGAATGGTAACGAGAGGGAATATAGTTGATTTCTGAATTAAAAATGAAGAGTAGGATTTGACGTAAGAAAATTTATGTCCTAAACAACTTTTAAGAGATGTATCTTTTGTGTAAATTTTCTTTTGGCTAGTGTATCGTTCCCCCCCCCCCCCCCCCCAATATTGTCTGTATCTGATATCCTGGTTTTCTTTGTAATAACATTGTTTAAAATTGGAAGGGGAAATTTGATTGTCATATAACATTTAAATTACTGAATTCTAATATTGTCTTTCCCTTTATGTGTATCTTTGGTGAAACACATGCATATGTTTAGGATTTTAGTTTTTGGAGTATGAGGATAATTTTTTTGGAGGTACATAGCATAGTGACAGTGAACTTCAGATCCTCTGTGATATGTTTATTTGTGTGATTGCATATACCAAATAACTCTAACATGACTTTTTTTTTTGAGGAAAGTAAAAAAAGGCTAACTTATTTCACATGTACAATGTTGAGTTTGTAAAACATATTTAGCAGTCTTCTCCTTCTGCAATGAGTTCAAGGAACGCAACTGCAGGATAATTCTTAATTTCTCTGTTGAATTAGGTTTTGATGTTTTAAAAATTATGCACCTAACATTTTAAAGTTTCAGATGTTTTCTATATGTCATTCTGTATAATGCTCTGTCATTGGTCTAGTTATCTCTTTTCTTATGTTTATATTTTTTATTTTTATGTTGCTTTGAATATGTTGGGTAGACTTGGGTTTTATGTTAGTCACTAAGCAGATGGCACATTATGTTTACATTTTTTTCTTTCCTTTCTTTCCCTTGCTTTTGAAAAACTGTAAATTAAAAAAAATAGTCTAGTGAAAAATCTTTGATTTAAAATTTGTGATGTTTGCAATGTTCTTTGATATTGCTAACAAAGTTCCGGCAGTAGGTATTGTAAAAAAAATGGTCCTAGACAAGTGACAACAGATTAAGTGATTCATATTATAGTTTTCTGTCACTGACATATCTGAAATTAGTGGAACTAATTTTTTACAGATTTGAGAAAATATGATGTCAGTAGTTTGTTCTCTTTTGCCAAGGAATTTGATCTTATCAGAGAAAATAGCAGTGAACATGTTGCAGCAAGTAAAGGAAATGGTTGGAGGATGAAATGTAAAATTTCTTTGAAAGCCTAATTTGCAAAAAGGACAACTTTCCTTTTCTCTTCATGCCCAGTGATTTTTACTTTTAAACGAGGTGTATGTTCTCAGTTTCAGGAAGCTTTCTGGCCCCATAATAGGGATAAGCTTATCATGTAAGTAAGATTTCAGTATCTCCCTGGGCTTATTCAGTTTACATCTTGTCAGATAAATCATTCTTTTTTGAGAAGTGGGCATATTCTCTTTAGTTGGTGGCATTAGAGTCATCATGGTGTTGTGAAATATTGCTTGACTGGGAGTCAGGAAGTCTATTTTCTAGCTCTAACTCAGTCACTTAACTTTGTAGAATGCTTTCATTGAATCCAAATTGCATATTTTTCCAAAAGTCTGTCTTTTGCGGTTAATGCCTCTTTTGGTGATTATATGTGGCTATAATTAATAGAAAAATGAAATCTCAAGAGAATCAAAATTACCAAGAACTCAGAGGGCAAGGGAGAGATGGATGTTGAGGCTAAGTAAGATATGGTGTATTGATACGTGATGGATATGCATATTAACTCCATAAAGTGACATGCAAGAGAGACAGGGGAAAGAGAGGTACTGTATTGATAATGAAGAAACACTTGGAAAGGTCTCAAGTGGTATATTGTTTCTCCTTAGCAGATTAAAAAAGAAACAACCCAAAAACAAACAATTTGGAAGTTTCCCACAGCCATCTTTGGTGATTCTTCTTTCATGGATTTAATAGAAGGATATGGGTGATAATTGTGTAAACTGAGAATCTGTGTAATAGCTATGATTTTAACTAGTGGAAGAAATATTTTCACAGATCCATTTAAATATACAAGTTTTTGGGGCAGCTAGGTGGCGCAGTGGATAGAGCACCGGCCTTGACAGGAGGACATGAGTTCCAATGTGGCCTCAGACCAAACACTTGACACTTACTAGCTGTGTGACCCTGGGCAGGTCACTTAACCCCAATTGCCTTAAAAAAAATACAAGTTTTTAAGATAAATTGGAAAAAATATGAACAATATGAGTATTCACATTTCCTTATTTTGTTATTGAGGTATTTCTGCTTGAGTCTTAGATTAATAGGCTCATAAATGTAGAGCTGGGAGGGAATTTGGAGACCAACTAGTCTAACCCTCTTATTTTATAAATAAGAAGAACTTCATGAATTTTATAAATAATAATTTTATAAAAAAAGAAATTGAAAGAGTTTAAGTGACTTGCTTAGGGTTATAGGGCATCATTGATAGGATTTGAAACCACCTTTGACTTTGAAGTTACTGCTCTTTCCACTGTGATGTGGCAGTTCAGCTCTTGATAAATAATTAGCCATTTGTTAGATTATTATCAAAATTTAGGCAGATTATACTTTACATCTAGTTTGTTTCTTTGCATGTGTCCAAATTGGTAATGTGTTTTTTAATGTTTATATCACTTTCCTATTTGATCCTTCAATCATCGGCTTCCCTTCCTACTAAAAGATGCTGATTTTACTAAATGAAGTGAAATAATCTGTTTTATTATTCTTAGTACTTAGCCTTTCAAATTTATCTGTTTATTCCTTGACATTGGCTTATTTTGAACAAAAAACCCATAGTATAGCAAAGCAGTATAGTTTTTAGAGTTCCCTGTTTTAGTGGGTCTGTGAGGTCAAAACTATTTTCACAGTAGTACTAATGCAGTAAATATTGATAAATATAACCCACATAAATAAATGCTCTTGAGGGAGGTGGTTTTAAAAAAAATTTTTTTTCAATCATTTTTAAGAGTGTAAAGAGAACCTGAGACCAAAGTCTGAGAACCAGTGACTTATAATATCTTTCTTTTATATCTTGATTTGTCAAACATTTTCTAAAGAAGATAAATATTTAGTTTTAGTATTTAGGCATCTAGAAAACGTTTTATCAACTCTGTCTTTATTTGGAAGGAGGCCTACATTCATTCTAATAATTAAATGCTTGACAACTAACTGGAAGTTTCAGATTTTCAGTAATTTGTTGTTATCTTTAATGTTTTGGGGCAGCTAGGTGGTGCAGTGGGTAGAGTGTTGTGCCTGGAGTCAGGATGACTCATCTTCCTGAGTTCAGATCTGGCTTCAGATACTTTCTAGCTCTGTGACTCGTGGCACGTCACTTCACCCTGTTTGCCTCAGGTTCCTCATCTGTAAAATGAGCTGTAGAAGGAACTGACAAATCACTCCAGTATCTTTGCGAAAAAAACCCCAAAAGGGTTCACCAAGAGTTGGAAATGACTGAAAAATGCTTGAACAACAAAATAGTGTTTCAAACATGTCATGTAACATGAAATATCAACCAAAATATTCATAGCAGCTCTTCTTGAGTTAGTAATGAATTGAAATGAAAAAGATAATCCTTTGACTGGGAAATGGCTAAATAAATTTTGGCCTATAAATATAATGGAATATTACTGGGCTGTAAAGAACAATATATTTTAATCATAGCCTGATACAGAATAAAATAAGGAGAACTAGGAAAACAATAAATATACCCACTTCAGTTATGTAAATGAAAAGAACAACAAAATAAACAAAACATTATTATTTATAATGACCATACCTGGTTTTCCTCCTATGTATCTGACCCCTCCTTCTATCTCCTTTGCTAGATCCTGTTCCAGATTATTCTCTTTAATTGTAGGTGTTCCTCTGAGTATTGTCCTAGGACGTCTTCTCTTCTCCCTTCATAATACTTTACTTGGTGATCTCATCAGCTCCCATGGATTTAATTACCAGCTTTATACTGATTATTCTCAAATCTACCTTTCCTGCCCCAGTCTCTCTGCTGACATCTCCTCTGACATCTCCAGCTTCCTTTCAGACACCTCGAACTGGAGGTCCAGTTAAAACTCAACATGTCCAAAATAGAACTCATTATTTTTCTTCCTAAACCTTACTCCCACCTTCCCAATTACCAGAGAGGGCAACACAGTCTTTCCAGTTCCTCAGGCTGAGTCATCTTGGATTCCTCTCATCTCCCGTATGCAATCTATCGCCAAGGCATCTTGTTTTACCTTTGCAGTATCTCTTGTATATGCCCCCTTCTCTCTTCTGACAGTGCCACCACCCTGGTGCAGGCCCTCATCATTTCACGCCCTGATTATTGCAATAGCCTGCTGGTGGGTGTTCCTGTCTCAAGTGTCCTCTATTCCAATCCACCCTCCATGAAGCCACTAAAGTGATTTTCCTAAAGCACAGGTCTGATTATGTTACCCACACTACTCAAACTCCAGTGGCTTCCTATTGCCTCTAGAATTTAATACGAAGTACTCTGTTTGTCCTTTAAAGCCCTTTATAACTTAGCCTTCCTACTTTTCCAAGTCTTCTCATACCTTACTCCCCAACACAAACTCTTTGATCCAGTGACAGTGGCCTTCTGACTATTCCACGAACAAGACCTTCTGTCTCTCTGC